ACTGTGTGTGTTTGACTATTTTTCTAGGTAGAGGCAACTCTAATGGTTTCCATTTGGCCTTTCCCACCATAATAGCCCTCACCCCACCAGTCAGGGATCCAATGTGGGGGCTCTGTGAGCTGCTAAGTATGTCTATACCAATTATGCATTCTGGCACTGGGGAAATGACCACAGGATGAGTCCGGGGACCCACTGGACCCACTGTAAGTCACACCTGAGCTAAAACTCCATTAGATTACCTGATCTTCATAAGTCCCTACTTTAACCACAATGACGTTTTGGGTCCCCCGGAATCAACGTCAGCTCAGAGCCAGTGTCCAGTAGTCCTCGAAATGTCTGATCATTTCCCTTTCCCCAGTGCACAGTTACCCTGGTCAAAGGCCAGAAGTCTCCTTGGGGAAGGATGGGAGAAAGATTCACAGCATAAATTGTTGGTATTGTAGTAGAGTCCTTCCTCAGGGGGCTTCATTCAAGGGGTTCTGGGTCTATAAAGTGGCTCAAGTCTGGAAATTGAGGGGCTGTGATTCTCTTGTTTTCTGTAATTCAAATTAGTCTTTTGTTCACTTGACCTGGAAGTTTTCCATTTATATGAATTAAGTAGGAATTCAGTAGGCTTCCTATCAATTCTGCTTCTGGGAACACTGATTAATTAGCCAGTGCAAAAGCTCTACACAAGTCAGATTATTCTGATTGCTGCTTTGCCTCTGTGGTCCATTATGGTAGCTCGCCCACCCTGCATTTGATGGTTGAGTGCTCCCACTTGGCCCCTGCCACCTCTGGATCCAATTATTCCCATTGTATTTAAATTTTGTAGTTGAGTGACTGTGGTTCCCACTGTTAGATCTGGCATATAGAGAAGAGCAATCATAGAGCTCTTCAAAGATTCATGTGCTGCCCTCACAAATCTCTTTCACAAAGCATTGGTCAAGGGTATATCTTCTGGACCTTCTCAGCTGGGATGAGTAGGTCTAACGTGACTAATTCACTCCACCATCCCAATCTCCCTAAGCCTTTGGATCCCTTCCTCTACATTAAACCAAGGGAGATCAGGCATTTCTAGCTCGCTCAGAGTGAGCCATCTTTTAATCCGTATTTCAGCTAACCAAGCAATCAAGCTATTAGAACCTTTTTAAACTCCCTGAGCAGCAACATTAAATGCAGAGTCCCTGCTTAGTGGGCCCAAATCAATAAATTTAGCCTGATGCAACTCTGTGTTTCTTCCACCATCATCCCACACCCTTAACATCCATTCCCACACCTGTTCTCCAGATTCCTGCCTATATAAATTAGAAAACTCAGTGTTTTTCAAGTGTAGCACACCTCCTTGTGGGTTACACTCTGAACTTCACCTCTAGGGGGCCGCTGGGACTTTAGTCCTTATAGGTCTAGAAGCAAACAGGGCTGATTCTCCTCTCCTGAGGTAATGTTACCACTACTGGGGATGGTGAAGCTGTTTCTTCTGGCAAAAAGGCTCATCAGAGTTTATAAGCTGTGTGTCCCCAGCGTCATCAGGGTCTTCCTACATGTCCCTATTCCAAGTTGCAGGTTCCCATTCTTTTCCAATCAGGGCTCTCACTTTAACAGTAAACACCTGGCGAGGCTGTGCATGTGCCTTTCATTGCAGGTCAGCCACTCACAAGATAAGAGGTTGTGTCTGATTTTCCACAATTTCAGCTCTTTGTCTACAGGAGACAAGACTCTCACTCAGGGCTTTTGAAGTATCTGCTTTTGAAACCTGGAGTTAGAATCCCTGAGTTCATCATTGTTTTTCATCACTTTGTCCAGTGAACTTAGGAGCAGCCAACCAACTTCATTGTGTTCCTTGGTTCTCCACATATGGTCAAAGGTATTATGTGTAGGGTCACCAAACTTTTTCCCTCTCAGAAGCGGTGAATCAGGAGTGTCAAATGCATTTATTTTGCATAACTCTAAACAGTTCATGCCAAGGACTATCAGTGTTCGCCGTACTACTAAAAGTAGAGTCCTTAGCATTTTGGGGTCTGATCATATTAAGGAGCCATCTCCAGAAACCCACCGACAAAAGAACTCCATCCTTAATATTCTGTTCCTCTAGAACCACTCCTGGTACCAAAGTCTGTTAGGGTTCTCTAGAGGGACAGAACTAATAGGATAGGTGTATATATAAAGGGGAGTTTTTAAGGAATGTTAACTCGCACGATCACAAGGTCCCACAATAGGCTGTCTGCAAGCTGAGGAGCAAGGAAGCCAGTCTGAGTCCCGAAGCTGAAGAACCTGGAGTCCTATGTTTGAGGGCAGGAAGCATCCAGCACAGGAGAAAGATGTAGGCTGGGAGGCTAAGCTAGTTTAATCTCTTCATGTTCTTCTGCCTGCTTTTTATTCTGGCCATGCTGGCAGCTGATTAGATGGTGCCCACCTGGACTGAGGGTGGGTTTGCCTCTTCCAGTCCACTGACTCAAATGTTAATTTCTTTTGGTAACACCACCTTTACAGCCACACCCAGGATCAGTACTTTGCATCCTTCAATCCAATCAAGTTGACAGTATTAGCCATCACAATTAGTGATGTTGAGCATTTTTCCATGTTTGTTGGCCATTTGTGTATCTTCTTTTGAGAATTGTCTATTCATGTTCGTATCCCACTTTTTGATAGGAAACTATATATATGCATATGTGTGTGTGTGTATTGAGACATTCTCACTCTGTCACGCAGGCCGGAGTGCAGTGGCATGATCTCAGCTCACTGCAACCTCCACCTCCTGAGTTTAAGCGATTCTCATGCCATAGCCTCCTGAGTAGCTTGAATTACAGGCATGTGCCACCATGCCGGGCTAATTTTTGTATTTTCAGTAGAGATAGGGTTTTTGCCAATGTTGGCCACTCTGGTCTTGAACTCTGGACCTCAAGTGATCCCCGCTCCCCTCGGCCTCCCAAAGTGCTGGGATTACAGGTGTAAACCACTGTGTCTGGCTGGAAACTATATTTTTAAATGGCATTTTTATTGTAGAAAATTGAGAAAATGAAAAACACATATGGGAAGTTAAACCTCAAATTTTTTAAAAACAAGATTTGTATGCATCTAGACGTTTATGGAAATACGTATTTGTGGGGGTTTTCTTTCACTTTTGTTTTTTTTTTTTTTTTTT